GCCTGCTATTTAAAAATGCAGGGCTGAAACTAAAAATATATCCAAGCCCTCCTTCAATTCCGGAGGGAATCTAGCTAAGAAATGCTGGCAAAAAGTATCTTTTATGCCTCTGCAAATTTTTCTCTTGTTTTGAATGGTTGCTGGTTATACCCAGTTGAGTATTTTCATGAAGAAATTTATTTCAGTAAGTTTGGCCTCCACATTTTAATTTTTTGCTGTCGAGAGATTTGCTTATTTACTCCTTATCGTGATCCGAAATTCCAAAAAGTCCCACAGCACGATGATGCATAAGTCGCGACTAAAGTGCTTTGACTTTTTTAAAGAATGAGTGGGGTTTATAAGGATCAATTGATGATGGTTGGTGGTTCACTCGGGGAATGGTCAACCGGTTACTGCGATTGGGGAGTGGGCATCGCTATGAGCATTTACGTGGAAGTGAAGGTGCACATGCGTGTATCTCGGTGCGCCAACACTGCTCTGTCGGCACAAATATCGAAGAAAACCACTTTATTGCTATGCGGCAATTTTGGCTCCTTATTTCCATATGGGCTTGCTCTTTTCTCCAGCTAGGGGAAAATTATCGAGTACAGAAAGCGTCACGCCAAACTTTGGATCATATCAAACAACTTATCACGTCAAGGGCACAAAGGTTACATTTTATGAGATTTCCAAATAAAGCTCATATTGTTCAGGAGAAAGAGGGTTGATTAGAAGAGAAAGGGGAAAAGGCGGAAGGGGGAGGGGGTTGGAGGCGAGGGAAGGGGGGAGGTGTGACAGAGAAGCAGGCATAATATGAACGGGTTTTTGCAGTTGACTGTGATTGTAGAATTACGGTGATGCATAATGTATGCGCAGTTTTACACTACAGCTAGATGATTGCTTTAGTATCCGATATTTTTTAAGAGCTAAAACTTCTGAGATTTACGATGAATGCTCATTGAATAAATGTCGGTAAGCTATGTCTGGACTTGAGGTCTACGGAGAAGTGCGTTGATCCTGAACTCACTGATAACAATTGTTGACAGAAATCAAATTGTCAAATTTTCGTACTTGTGTTGCGCAATTGCAAAGTTAGCCTAAATTCAGACCTCAAATTAGCAGCCATGGTAGTTTTTAACCTCCTGACCGCCATAACAACGGCTCAACAGCAACCTTGCTCAAGGATCTCACTAACTACTAAGCTTACAATAATATGAAAGACTCGGGCACAAAAAAAACAGACAAACAAACACGCGTACATACACAAACATATAGATTTAAGATTTCGTCAATATGCACTTTCGTATCTGCCTAAGCACACAGAACAGACAAAAAAAGGATCGATTTTAATCCATTGATTTAAACGGCGATACAAATGTCGATTTCAAATTGTCAATTTTTAAATTACGAAATAAGATTGGAATTTAATATATAGTCACATTTATCGACATTGCTGCAAAAGTTTTGCTCTTTTACATGGCTGGAGAGTGTGCCAAACACTTGTTTCCTAATCAAGACACACAACTTTCAACTTCTTCCAAGTCAACACCGTCTATCGGCAATTTTGAAGAAGGTCAAAAACAGAGAAGCGTGAAAACTGACTCCAGACATTAATAGCGCTGTTTGTTAGAAGATAGACGATTCCTTCTCGTACACCCTTCTTAGCTGATCTGGAGTTGAAATATCCGAACGAACATAGCCAAACATGCGCAAACTCATATGCGTCCACAAATACACATGTACGTAGATGCATTTTTCCCAAATTATTTTTTAATTTTCTTCAGTAATTTTGCAGAGAAGTCAAAAATGCTGAGCTTAACATGTTAGCTGATCAGGTCGTACTGCAACGTAAAGATCCGGAGGCGGAGAGACATCATGATGAATTATCCATAAATGATCCAGACACATACTTCCAGGTTTGCCCAAATTTATCATTAAGTTATCAGGAGAAACATTTTCTTAATCTTTTATTACTATGGAGAATACAAAAAATCATGTTTACAAATCTAGCGATTTACTTATTCGTTTCGTAAAATTGAAGGAGCCGGAAGAAAAATGATGCCATCAGTTTACAAACATCAAGCGAATGCTACAAAATGCTAAGTTAAATGAGTTCTCACTTTGGATAAGACAATAAACTTCCTGCTGCCTTCGTACCATGCGCTACTTTTCAAAATGCGACAGAAAGCTTTATCGGAGCACCTTTTGTGAAAGTAGAAATAAATAATGGGGCGATTCGGGAAGCTGACGACAATGGATTTGCTGAGTTCAATAATTATCCATTTAAAATCATGAGTCTTTCTAATCAAATGTTTCAGTTTTTTGCGCTTTCCTGCAAAAAATTAGTAAGGACTTGAACAGCAACATGAACGAGCAACTATACTGCTATGCATTTTTGCAATACGTCAGCTACAACAGCTGCTCCCATATGCATCGCTTTGATTTACTCTTGATCCATCCAAAGAATAAAGGCCACGAAAATTCCAGATTATAACTTGCTGTGTTCAAGAACTACGACTTTAACCCGAACCCAAATGCGCGATTATAAATCAGAAAATCGTGTACTTTTGAAAGGCCGACTTTTTCATTCCAGGGCGATATTGATTTGTCCGAGAAGCAAGCCGAGTTAATTGCCAGACAGCTTGAGAGTGCTAGTGCTCTAAAAGGAAAAGAAGATGAAATTATACGAAAAAAAAGGCAAGTATTGGAAAATTTTGAACTGATAGGACTTGAACAAATCGTTGTTTCAAACGCAGTACTAGGAAAAAGTGTAAATCTGCATAATCTTAAAATAGCAATTATTTCATCAGAATAAATTTATCAAGTTGGCCGGCGTGGCACTGTAGCAAATCATGCTATTCTTCTGCTGAAAGTCAAGGATTCGATTACGACAATGAGAAAACTATTCCCTTGGCTATTCATTCATTCGTTTCAGTGGTAAATTGATGCTACCGGAGTGTTATAACCGCCATCACATAAATCCTTTTTTTTTTAAATCCAACTTTTTTTTGCACGTAACGATCACTGTTCCGTGCAGAAATATTCTTTCCATCAGGCTTAATTTGAAACGTTGATGCTGCTTCAACTTAGGACACATTCAGGAAAGTTGGCCGCG